CGTACCTTAATACTTTTATGAACAGAATAATAAGATGAATCAATTGGTGGAAAAAAACACATAGTTGCTTTAAAAAAATATTTATGCAAAATGGATAATTTTTTAAATAAGCAACTATGTGTTTTTTTCCCACCAATTGATTCATCTTATTATTCTGTTCATAAAAGTATTAAGGTACGATTATCAAAAAATTAATAGTTTACGAATTATTTAATATTTTATATCAATATGTGCCACATTGAAATATAAAATATCTCGTAAACTATTGGTTTTTTGATATCGCTACCTTAATACTTTTATTATATATGCAGAATAATTAGAGGAATCATATTATGTAAAAAAATTCATATAATTCCATTTAAAAAAATGATCATGACCTTCAAATAACCTTGAAATCGAGTTCAAGGTCAAGGTCCTCGGCACCATTAGGTGACCCCCTCTGTCCCCTTCAACTTTTGTCTGGACCATTTTTCTCTATCTCGCTTAGATTCCGAGAAATTCAGGTTGGGAGATTAAAATGGCCCACCGTGTATAATTATTAGTATAAGAAACTTAAGTTTGGAAAATTAAAATATGTAATTATATGTACTTATCAATATAAGAAAACAAATTAATTTTTTTAAAGTAAAAATGTATATTTTTATATTTGCCGTATAACAAATCAAACCCACCACAAAGACTCCTTATAAATCAAAAGAATCAGGAAAGAGCAATGGGCAATAGGAGTCAAAACGCGGAAGAGGTTGCGCAAATAATACGACTATGAAGCGTAAAAAACTTCTTTATTTGATAAAGCTAAACAGCGCATTTATCAAATAAAGATGTTTTTTTACGCTTCATAGTCGTATTATTTGCGCAACATCTTCCGCGTTTTGACTCCTATTGCCCATGCTCTTTCCTGATTCTTTTTATATTTGATTGAAAATTATAAAGATATGTAGTACTATATTAGAATTCTTAAAAAATTTATGTGATTTTTTTTAACTTTAAAACTAATTAAAGTATCTACGAACTACAATACATTGTCTCTGATCCTTCTACTTTCTACTAAATTATCAAAATGGACAATTACGTTGTTGTTTCTAATATTTTCAATGTTTGGTATGTCGAAATCATTCTCGGGCAATCTATACTAAATGCAAAGGTGTAAAATCGCACAAGCAACTACTATCACTCCTACATTATAAGGGCTATATCGTAGTCCCCTCTCTCCTAGAAGGCAACGAAATCTGGCTTTGAATACACCAATGCAACATTCTACACGACTTCTTGCAGAACAATGCCTTCTTGTGTACCAATCTTCAGGAGATCCAGCTACACTATCTAAAATTGGTGTTAGAAGCCATGGTTGTGATGGATAACCTGAATCTCCTAATAACCAAGATGAATGATCTCCTCTTTCTTTTTAAAAAACATCTTTTTAAGTGTCTGTAAATATTGGAATTTCTTCATATGTATGAATCGTGTATTGCTTCTGCATATTGGGCATTAATATTAGTAATTTTTAAGTTGGAATCACAAATCTGTAAAATAATGAAGTTTAATAAAAAATATTTGATATGAAATATTTACAATAATAAAATATTTATATATGATAAAAAATTTATTTATAAAATATATTTATAAAAAATTTACAGTAAAATATTTACAATTTGTACATTTTTTGAATGAAATCCTTTCCGGTTAATATAGTTGTACTCTTCAATTGTAGGTGTAAGAATTCGAATATGAGTGCAGTCTATTGCTCCTATTACATCAGGGAATTGGGTATTTTCCATAAATTGTTGTTTAACAATTAATTTTTCTTGAGCTGTTGTTGGAAATTTTATGTATTCATTTCGCAGGTGAGTATATATAAGTTGTAACACTTTCTTTATACAATTGGAAACCGACGATTGACTTATAGAGATATTATAACTTTGTCCGATTAATCGCTGATAGCTTCCAGCATGATAGCATAAAATAAAAGTGCTGTAAATATTTTCGTTTCTGCACTCAAACTATTTGGATGTGGATTTATGTTAATGTGTGGTGCCAAACATTCAATTAAAAAATGCACAAGTTCCTTTGACAAACGAAACGTACTGATAAAATGTTTGTTCTAATTCAAATGGGCTTGAATTATTTCGCATTAATCTCCTTTGAATGTTAAAATCGCATGTTTTGTTGCCTGTCAATTTCTGCCAATTCTTCTATCATGAGGAGATTTACAGGCATTATCTAATTGATCGAAATAACATTAATTATTTAAATACACTTATATATAATATAATATCTAGAGTAGTATTTTACTTTTATTTCTTTTCGAAAGAGTTAGAACAAAATAATATTTTAATTATAACCAAAAACAAATAACTTTGGAGTTAAAAAATTATCATCGTACGTCGTTTTAGACATCAAACATTGTTTCAGATGACTCTCCAACAGTGTTGTCATATACTCTCGGTCACTTTGCCCCGAACTCGATCGAGCAAATATCGACCGTAGTATTTTGATTTAGTATGCTACCGTTAAGAGTTGAAATCGACATCGTTCGGTCACTTCCTGTAGCGATTTCGACTTTTCTAGTCGATATGGCATAATTCCACTCCAGAACGGCTTCACCGACTTTTATTTTTTTTTTTGGCGCAAATTACTTGTGGCGATGCCGCCTTTCAGGATGTGTTACGTGCGATTCAAAATTTTTTATATTTTAGTAGTTTTGTACCCCCCAAAAATGGACTTTGGTGGCTCGGAATAAGAGACATGTAGTGTCTTTCATTTTCATTTTCATTAATCCTAAAGTAGTTAGGATAGTTGAACATGGCCGGAGACACTACCGCGTCTCCTGATGTCACTGTGGTTCTCGACAAAGACGTCTACGTATCTAAAATGGAGGAGATTCTTTCAGATACCAATACTTACAAATTGATTGATAAAGATCCAATTAAAAAATTGACTCAGGATAATTGGCTCAGGAAATTGACTCAGTAATACACTTACATGTATTACTTGTAAGGTGGAAGTGCAATCGTTTTATTGACGAACCAACATATTGAAGATTGCTCACAACAGATGGTATTATACCTAGGGCTTATGAATTGACTAAAATAAAGACGGTAACCCATTAAGAGTGATTGTGTCTTCTATTAACAGTCCATTATATTATCTTTCTCTCTTTTTACACAATATTATTAATGACAGCATACCACAAGCTCCTAGCCATATAAAAGACAACTTCCATTTAATTCATAAATTAATGGCATACGTTTTGATTTTCAATATGTTTTGGCTTCGTTAGATGTAGTATCTTGTTTTACTAATATTCCTGTTGATCTAGCAGTAAATAGCATCGATAGGAGATGGGATTACATTTCAGCGAAGACAAACATCTAAAGAAGAATTTATTATTACGGTTAGCTTTATTTTAGATTCAACCTTTTTTGCTTTCAAGAATAAAACTTATAAACAAGTATTTGGTACTGCAATGGGCTCACTGTTATCACCGATAATTACCGACATTGTAATGCAAGATCTATAAGAAATAGCAATCAATAAATTACTAGTACAACCATTGTTTTACTTTAGATACGTTGATAATGTCATCCTTGCACTTCCATCTGATAATATCAATGATACACTGAGTACTTTTAACTCTTTACATAAAAGATTACAATTTACTATAGAGGTACAAAAAACTGAGTTTTCTTGACATGATGTTCATCATAGATAATCAAAGAATTACATTTAACACTTATCATAAAAAGACGTTTTCAGGAAGATTCCTTAATTTCCATTCTAATCATCCTCTAATTGCCATAAAAAAGGCACAATCATTAGTTTCATAGACAAAATTATCCACTTATCACATCCTCGTTTTCAACAAAAAAATTTGATAGATGCTGTTCATATTTTTCTCAATAAAAGTTATCCTCTTCTCTTTCATCTTCTCTACAATTGAAAAAAGAATAAAATTCCATATACGAGGGTCGTCTGAAAAGTTTTGAGTCTCATCATGAAGATGGCGTTACTCGTCAAAGCCATTCTGGTATTAATAGTGATACTTACGAAAGATATCTGTGACAATTGTGGCCACTTTGGACGTTTAATTCTTGTTTGACAATCATTTGTGTCGTCATTTTGTAAAAATGGAAAAAATTGAATATCGTGCTATAATTAAATTCTTGCATTTGAAAGGCAATACATTTACGCAAATTAAAGCCGAGTTGGACGCTGTTTACGGGGACTCTGCCCCATCATTTGCCACCGTGAAAAGATGGGTAGCTGAATTTAAACGTGGTCGTATCAGCTTAGCTGATGATGAGCGTTCGGGACGGCCAACAACTGCGACCATCACCGATAACATCGAACAAATTCATCAAATGATAATGGATAACCGTCGAATTAAGATTAGGGAGATAGCAGAGGCTGTTGGCATATCAAAAGAACGTGTTTGTCATATATTGACTGAAGAATTAGACATGCGTAAGTTAACCGCGTGTTGGATGCCGCGTTTGCTCACTCTGGATCAAAAACGCATTCGAATGAACATTTCTAAGGCCCTGTTGGAGCGATTTAAGCGAAACGAGTCGGATTTTTTGCGTCGATTAATAACGGTTGATGAAACTTGGGTCCACCACTTCACTTCTGAAACGAAAGAACAATCAAAACAGTGGACTGCGAAGGGTGAACCTGCTCCGAAAAAAATGAAGACGGTTTTATCGGCGGGAAAGGTGATGGCGACTGTTTTTTGGGACAGTCATGGAATTGTGTTGATCGACTATCTTGAAAAAGGTAAAACAATAACAGGGACGTACTACGCATCATTGCTTGACAAGCTGAAGACAAAAATTGAGAAAAAACGACCGCATTTGAAAAAGAAGAAAGTGCTGTTCCATCAAGATAACGCACCGTCTCACACTTCGGCGGTCGCTATGGCAAAAATCGAATTGCCGTTCGGATTAATTGACCATCCACCGTATTCACCAGATCTGGCCCCCAGCGACTTTTTTCTGTTTCTTAGACTCAAAGTTTGGCTCGGACGACAGAAATTTTCATCGAACGAGGAGGTCATCGCATCCGTAGACGCCTATTTTGCAAAGCAAGACGCTCAGTATTATTTGAATGGATTAAAGGGGTGGGAGTATCACTGGAAAAAATGTACCAACTTAAAAGGAGACTATGTGGAAAAATAAAATTGAATTTGACCGAAAAATTACTTGTTTCTATATTAGGCTCAAAATTTTTCAGACGATTCTCGTATGTAGAAGTTAATGCATGCAATACATTTTTTGTAAATTAAAGGTAACGTTATTCTTCTAACAATTATATAATTTATTAAGAATTATCTACAATTAAGAATATAATCATTCAGTCTTGAAACGCAAACTCTACTAAACTTCCACAGGAATATCACGAGTTAAATTGACCAGCAATTTAACTCGTGATATTACTGCGATAGTTTAATAAAGTTTGCGTTTGAAGACCGAAAAATCATTTTAGCGCGCGTTTTAAAGGACTACATACGTGGTATATATATCTGTCTTGTAACTCATTATTAAAATATGGCTTTCAATGTACTGAATGAAAAATAAGATTAGTACAGATATTGACTTATACAGATTTGGATTATGAAAAAGAATTAATAAGAATATAATAGTGTTATTACAGGAGAACGAATCTGGTTGTCATTCGAAATTGATTGTCAAAAAGCTAATAAGTCAATTACCATATGACAGGGCATTTTGTCCTTTTGACTCCAGATTACTGATATAACATTAAGTTAATACACAATAATAAAATTGTTGTATAATATCGTTTGCGACAAAAGCGTCATGTCTGTATTAGATACAATAATTTTTAAGAATGTAAACTCGGTGGGTAAATTTTTCTCATTCCTTTTTTGCGTTTTTATTAGTTTTGGCATTACTAATCGCGATTTAACTATAATCGTGGAAAATATTATGCCTTAATTAATTTTTAGTGTTATAGTTAGTTAATCATTATTGTAACAACATTTGTAAGATATAACCTCTTTTAATAGAAACAGCTTCATAAGATAAATTGACCAAAATAAACGAGAATTATGACAGTAAATTTTAATCTTCTTGTACATCGACGTGTTTTTAGAGCATATGTTTATGAATATCGTATTTCATGTAGATCGACGCTTTTCGACGCTGTAGCGACGTCACGGCAAGTTTATAAAGGGTGCATTCCAAGATACGCATGAAACGCATGATGTATCGCTTCATTCTTCTTTATTATTTGGTGAACGACAAGGACAAATGATGCATTATGCGCTTCATGCGTAACTTGGAACACACTCAAAGACACAAAGAAAACTTCGAACGGGCCGAATGACATAATTAACATCATTGCA